ATTAAGAATTGTTTTATACTAAGTGAGAAATAGCTTGAAGTAGCATGACAACAAACAGCACTGATTTAACTCAATACAATAATTTGTAAGGCAATGTCTACTTGTCCAATAAAAGATTCTAAAACTCCCTGCAACATACAGCACTCTTCCTGTAAACTTAATAGAGCACAAAGCACCAAGTCTACCAAAATAGTATGAAATTGATAAAATAATACCAGTGCTATTACTCTTACATGACTAGGAGGTAGGGACTTGGATTCCAGCTAAGAAAAACACAGCAGGAAGTAGGTCTGTTTGTTTCCTATTATCATCTTTATGTGCAGAAACCACCATACAGATACTGGCAAATTTACTCTGAGCATCTTTTTTAGGGGAACTGAGCCAAGAAGAAAGTAAAATATCTACTATTTGTACCCATCACTGCCCCCAAAGAATGGAGAAGCATTCCAACATATGTAGACAATTTAAACTGTTGATAAATAACTTTAAAGCAAAGCACTAAGCAAGGCTACATATCTGAGCCCATCAAAGAACAGAGATAGTTAGAAAATGAATAGTGCTGCATCCAATGTTTAGGATATTCTAGTGCCCATTGCACAAGTCATCATAGCCTGCCTAAGAAAGTCTGGCCTTTGGTAAAAAATATGTGTTAAACGATACGAATTCCTGTGTTTATATAGTGTCTGGTAATAATTGGTGAACTATATAAAGACTAAGGAGTCTTCCCTTTACTGTTCAACCTGAAGGTTGAATGAACACGCAACTGTTTCTAGAACTGGTATCTCAATCCTTGTGATTAGGAACATAAACCAGGGCATTGTTTTCAAAATACTAATTTGTTTTCACTGTGCCTCTCCACAATTCTGCCATTGTATCCAAAAGCTGACATTAACGTCTTATTGTTTCCAGCTCTTGCCAGGCAAACTCACACTTATCCAGACCTCTATAAACGGTGCCCAATATAAGTATAATCAGCAATGGAGTACCCAACATAATTTGCTCTTGAATTTTAGAAGTGCCAAGATGGGAGCTGCACCAAATGACAGATACTTTGCATTTGTACAGCCAAACATAGAATTCATGCCAAGAGCTCATGACAAACACAATTTTCCCTGGGCCCATTTCTCCATGGCTCCATCTTTTACTCTTCATGGCATTCTGTATGCATACTAAACAGCTTAAAACGAAGGCTAGAAAAACAGAATACCTTGCATACTAGAACCATCTACATTAAGCTCAAAGTAGTCATAACAGACCTTATAGGATGTGGGGGAACATAGCTAATACAAAGCTATATAAAGTCATCCCATAGCATCCACAGATTCTGTATCCACAGATTTACTCATCCACTGATTGAAAATATTCAAAACAGAAATCCCCAAAAGCAAACCCCGTTCTTGCTATTTTATATAATAGGCTTCATTTTACTATGTCATTATTTGGTATCTATAGTGGTAGGAGTGATACAGTCAGCCTAACGAAGAGCTTAGTGATATTCTTCATTCCTCTTGCAAAGAAGGGGACACAGAAGTCAATGCTTTATGGCAACAGCTACATACAAACATAGGGAGCACCACTGACAAGAGGGGGAGGGAACCCTTTATCACACTGAGTTCTTTAATCACTTTAAACACGTTTTTCAAGAGATTCTCATACATGGCTCAAAATAACCAAAACCTTTGAAAAGACAATGAGCAAATGAAAATAAAACTTGCTGACAATACTGACTTCAGAAGTGGTGCATTTCCATTGGTGCCTCAAACATAAAACAGTCCCTATGAAACAAGCCCTGTAGCTTCACTAAAGCTTATTCAGTGTATGTAATAGCCAGCTTTCAGGTATTTCATAGTTTGCCCCATATTCACTGGTGAATCATTTCAATGATCTAAAGCAATTGTTAAAATCAGGCTACATTACCTTTACCATTAAAGGCTGCCTAATTTTAGTATATATTTTCCATAAAAGTTGGCCCTTGAATACAGAACTTTAAAGCATCTCTAACCACTGAACCACTAACATTACTTCTTGAAATAGTGAAATCATATGCAATATTTTACACCAAAAATAACAATTTAAACAAAAACATTCCATAAGCAGGTATAGAAAACAAATAAAAAACAGGATTTATATATATACAGCATCCCTAGCTATACATTTTTCCTAGGTAACAAATAAATATCAAAAATAGGAAACTAAACCTTCCAACCCGCACCCCTGCTACAGAAATCCAACATAGAAACAAAGCTCATATTATTGCTGTACAGCTCAGATTCAAAGCAGCCTGGAGTTTAATTAAGAGAAAGCCAGAAGGAGAAGTCTGGTGTCTAGCTGACAGGAAGCGAGAAGGGGAACTATCACAAAGATTGTACTGAAAAGTCAAGCTGACTCACAGCCAAAGCAAAACATTCAACCTTTTAAAAATAGTATCACATACTCCCATGTAACTATGCTCTATCTACTAATGAAGAACTGCATGTTTTCTAATGCAGCACATTATAAAGCAACAGTAAATAAGCTGGGATAGAAATAATTGATTTAAAACAATACAGGTCATTTCAAGATGGAAACAAAGCACAATTTAAAGACCTCCATCTCAGCTCATGATGCCCCTTTGTTTCCATTACAAAAAAACCTCCTGAGAAATAAAAAAAGCACCACATTCCTTCTGCTTTCCAGGTGGTGCAAAATAGATAAACTTTGCTGAAAATCTGATAATTTGTAGAACCAATACCAGCAATTTCAAACTATTAAATGCTAGAAAACCCATGGCAAGAAAAAGGAAACAAATGCCCTTTCCTTTGAAGAAGGGGGTGAAATCCTTTTAGGGAGGTCAGAGGACAGAATGACACAGAGAATAAAGCCCCAAGGTATGAGCACAAAGGAAAAAAGGGCTCCCTTTGTTTTATTGCTGTCAC